AAAAAAAAAAAAAAAAAAAAAAAAAAAAAAAAAAAAAAAAAAAAAAAAAAAAAAAAAAGAACAAAATAAAATTGCTTACGAAGTTATGCTTTACGAGCACATGCATACACGATTTGTATAAGATTACACTCACTCTTTTAACGTGTAACTCTCGCAAACGTTTTGTTCGCTCAGCCTGCTTTTCACCAAACTTAGTACTTGAGGAAATTTCTTCACTCATTATTTGGATAGTTGATATTGTGCGAATTATGGAACAAACTGTACTACAAATGCCTCAACACTTCTCAACTCCAGTCAACTCCTTAGCACCAACGAATATAGACGCTTGTAGAAGCCCACTCAACATAGGACTGGTGGCGAAAAAAAATCTGATCAAAAGTAGACAGTAGATGGCGCTTCTATGTACTATTTGGGAATAGGTAATAGTGTCTATAGTGAGTGAGTCGTTATTTTACGTACGAGAACGTGCCTAAATACTAAATTGTTGCGCTTATAACGTCATTTATTTGGTATAGTAGGGCCCCAATCTCGCGAAATACGCGTGGATGTACTAGCTTAATATCAAGCCAGCACATCTTCTCATTAAGCTGAGCAGATAAACGGGTGACGGAAAGACCTTGATATTTTTTAGCTAATTTGTAGCTCTGAGATGCATTAAAGGGGAACAATCGAATAATCATGCCTAATACAAGATGGAATTACCTGTCGGACAAGCTGTGGCCCTTTGCGATAAACATATGTAACTATTAATCACTTATAACGGAGCGTATAGATGGCTCAGTCGGCAAACGCGGGCGTCTTTTGTTTCCAATCGGCAGGTTCGAATCTCGCTCGCTGCATTTTTTTTTTTTTCTACGAAAATTGCAGTTTTTTTTTTTCTTATCGCTCGCAGTACTTATTGTAATTCCAGAAAACAACCGCAAACATAGACCCGTAAGATATTAAATTCTATACAAAATTAGTTTAAAATAAATACTGTTTATCCAAATCAGCAACCATCTTGTCAACTGCTTCTTTTTTGTCTCTGTGCAGGCCATGCAATATTGTATTCTTATCTCCATAAAATGCAGAACCAAGAGTATTTTTAGCCTCTTCATAAGCTTCCATGTTAGGTTTTATACTTTTCACAAGGCTTTTATACTGTCGTACCGTAGCTTGCTCAAAATCTGCAAATCCATCGTTTGGATCAATCCTTTTTTTTTTTTTCAACATCTTTTCTGCTGATATAGCATCAATGCTTAACAATTTTACTCTTTCATAATCGAGACCCTTAAAATTGAATCTTTAAGAATTTATTTGAGTATTAATTTTAATCTTAAACTGCAAGATCTTACTTTTTCTTCTGCATTTTTCTTTGCCTGTTCATCATTCGTGATCCATTCTGCGCGGCGTTTTCGGGCTTCCCAATTTGCAGGTAATTTGTTCCGTCTGTCTTCTTCAATAACTTCTTTGTGATTTTGTTGGCGAGCTTCGTTCTAATAACGAAAAAAAAAGAAAAAAAAAAAAAAAAAAAAAAAAAAAAAAAAAAAAAAAAAAAA